AAAGAAGGAATGGATCGCACTCCACTACTAGATCATTTCATCCGATCTGGCGAGCTTACGACCCAAAGAATCAGGCTGCAAGCTTAACAATCTCGGTCCAGCTCTCTTAAGTCAACAAATGACTAGGTAAAAGTTCAACTCGAACAACCGAAAGCAAAAGGTGGAAATAATTCAAAGGCATTAACGCCTGAATTCTTCCAAAATAAAGCCCTTTCGGGCTAAGATAAGTTCGAAATAAAGGATAACAGCCACCGGATCTTGTCGTTCGAGCTATGATCTTGGAGATCGACCTCGACCGTATGATCTGATGGATCCTTGGTCTCTCGTAGCGTCGACCATTGATCCTTAATGATTACTTACCATCATGGCAACAACATACGAGATACAAAATCTTCTAGAAAGAAACCACTCGCCGCCCATTAAAGCTCGAACTCGTTCTCGTTAATGGGCTGGGGGGCAATTGTTGGAGCAGGATTTGTCACCCCAAATCCGGCCCACTTAAGCCCAACAACAATATCCTAAAACTAAGTTCAGTTGATTGGGCCTCGTTCATACGGCCCAGGTCCAATCACTCACAATGGTCCAAACCTGACAATCAGTGTTCCGTTCGTAGAGGTCGAGCTCCACCTCGTCCCGAAGAATAAGGAAGAATCCGGACCAAGTCTGAGCATATTCTCACCAGTTCAAACGAGCCCAAGATTTCCAGGAGAAGCTGTTGCACGTGGCCGAGATTTCTGGCTGAAGCTGCTACACGTGGCCGAGATACGCGCTGAAGGTTGAAGCTCGACGAGACGAGCTATATAAAGGACACAAACTGCCAAATTTTAGGAGATCTCCCACTTCGCCGGGACCTTCGGCTTGATCTTTGGACACACTTTTTACACCTAGAAACTCTGTAACCGATTTTTGAGCTCTTTTCAGTTCATTTTTTTCATTGAAATCCTTGTAACCGTTTCATTCGACCGATCAATACAAAATCCTTATTTCAGTTAGTGCTAGCTTATATTGTCAATCTGTCAAAAAAATCTAGCCTTTAATTCTCCTAAGTTTCTTTCCTTACAAAAATATATAAATTTTGAGTGTGGATTTTTGCATCCACAGTAAAAAAATACTCATTTTGAAGCATCATATTCACAGTCTTTATTTCATCAAAATCATTAAACATTTACTGTATCAGACTCGAAAATCAATTTCAAATTGATTCATGGTTAAGACGTGCAACTGTAAACTGTAAACTGTAGAAGATACTTAATAATTCAATCGGAAGAGCATCCACGTGTCCATCCATTTGCCGAGTGCCACGTGTCTATTACCGTACATAAACCGACGGCATTCCTTCCCAAGAAAGGACAGAGTCCACAAGCTTTGATTGTTCTTCAAAGTTCAAAAAATCGAAGGCTAAACACTTCCCTACTTTCTGGAATCCGATTCGACGAAATCAGCAAGGAAACTTCAGATCCGATCGAGTTTCACTGAGGTTACCGATATTCCTAGACGTGTTTTCGATTCCTTGAGCTTCTTTTTCTTCATTTGGATTCTGTTTTTTTTTTTTTAGCTTTTGTGATCTGCCGATTTTGAAATTTTCAAATCAATCATCGGATCTAGTAAATTTATTGCGTTTCACTGTGATAGTGTTAATGTTGTGCTTTCGTGTATAGCTTCGCTAAATGGAAGATCCTGGAGGGAATCCAATGGGTTCATCATCGTTTCTGGAAAAGTCTAAAAGCAGTGAGTATGGTCTCTACGGGATCATAGGAGGCGGGATCGTGGCCTTACTAGTACCGGTTTTGCTCTCCGTGGTGTTAACCGGGAGCAAAAAGGGGAAGAAGAGAGGCGTTCCGGTGAAAGTAGGCGGCGAGGAAGGTTACGCGATGCGTCATGCTCGTGGTCCTGATTTGGTCGAGTTTCCTTGGGAAGGAGCTACGACTATGGCTGCTTTGTTTGAGCAGGCTTGTAAGAATCACTCGAACAATCGTTTGCTTGGTACTAGAGAGTTTATAGACAAGGAGATCGTTACGGCTAGTGACGGCAGGAAGTTCGAGAAGCTTCATCTCGGTGAGTATCGGTGGCAGAGTTATAGCGAGGTCTTTGAACGCGTTTGCAATTTTGCCTCTGGGCTTGTGAGTGTTGGCCATAACGTTGATACTCGCGTCGCCATCTTCTCGGATACTCGAGCAGAGTGGTTTATCGCGTTTCAGGTTTCCATCAGCTTGAGTTTTGTTTTTTTTTCTAAGATTTTGTTTGAGAGTTTTACTCAGTTTGATGAAATTGATCTTTTGTATTTTTTTTGCAAATTTCCCAGGGATGTTTCAGGCAGAGCATAACCGTTGTTACTATTTATGCTTCTTTAGGAGAAGAGGCTTTGATTTACTCACTCAATGAGGTTAGTGTGGAATGTTGTTTGTTGTTACTAGTCTTTAGTGCTGGATCTCTGAATCTTGTGGTATTATATTGTTGACAGACTCGAGTATCAACCCTGATATGCGACTCGAAGCAGCTTAAAAAGCTCTCTGCGATACAATCAAGCTTGAAAACTGTAAAGAACATCATTTACATTGAAGAAGATGGTGTAGAGGTTGCTTCCGATGACGTCAAGAGCCTGGGAGACATAACTGTTTCGTCCATCTCTGAAGTTGAGAAACTGGGGCAGAAGAGCCCTGTTCAGCCGATCTTACCTTCGAAGAATGGAGTTGCTGTAATAATGTTCACCAGTGGTAGTACCGGTTTGCCAAAGGTGTGTGCTGTTTGGTTTTGTTTACCTGAATTTCTGAATGATATGAGAAACTATATTTTAGTTTACATTTTTGTGCATTTACTCAGGGAGTTATGATTACCCACGGGAATCTTATTGCAACTGCTGCGGGAGTTATGAAGGTGATTCCAAAGCTGGATAAGAACGACACATATATTGCATACTTACCTTTGGCTCATGTGTTTGAGCTAGAAGCTGAGGTATGTTTATGAGCTCTCTCTCTCTCTCTATCTCTCTCGCTTTTGAACTTCTTCTACCTTATTGTTTTACTCTTTTTTACCAAATCATGGTTTTGTCAGATTGTGGTCTTCACCTCAGGTTGTGCCATCGGTTATGGCTCGGCAATGACTTTGACTGATACTTCAAATAAAATCAAGAGAGGAACCAAAGGAGATGTTTCAGTTCTAAATCCAACTATCATGACTGCAGTTCCAGCTATTCTCGATCGTGTCCGAGAAGGAGTTCTGAAAAAGGTACCACCTTAGCGACGACGACGCTGTTTGTGCGTGTTTTTGCAGTTGCTTACTTGATCATTTATACTTGTTGTGTACGTGATGATCTAGGTTGAGGAAAAGGGAGGGATGGCGAAGACCCTCTTTAACTTTGCATACAAGCGCCGGTTAACAGCTGTGGATGGAAGTTGGTTTGGTGCTTGGGGTTTGGAGAAACTGTTCTGGGATACTCTAGTCTTCAAAAAAATACGCGCTGTGCTTGGAGGACACATCCGATTTATGCTCTGTGGAGGGGCTCCTCTATCTCCTGATTCACAACGCTTCATCAATATATGCATGGGGTAAGAGATTCATCATCCTTTGTCGTCTCTCATTTGACATTTCCATATACGAGTCTTGTCCCATATTTGTGACGTTGGTATACTTGCATTTGAACCCACTCTCGTGGTTTGTGCTTGTCTGTATTCTTCTTAGCAACTTCACAATGCTTGGGATTAATTAGTTTGTTCTGATTGTGATTGCGCTTTGATTTCCGGTTAGGGCTCCCATCGGTCAAGGGTATGGACTGACTGAAACGTGTGCTGGAGCTACGTTTTCTGAGTGGGACGACCCTGCTGTTGGCCGCGTAGGACCACCACTTCCATGTGGCTACATTAAGGTTTGCTTGCAACAATACGTTCACTCCGTGTAAACCTTGTTGTAATCAGAGAGTAACAAGCTTCACCAATACTTATCTTTGCAGCTCGTTTCTTGGGAAGAAGGTGGATATAGAGTATCAGACAAACCAATGCCTCGAGGGGAGATTGTGGTAGGTGGTAACAGTGTTACAGCAGGTTACTTCAACAATCAAGAAAAAACGGACGAGGTTTACAAGGTAACATAACAAAGCTTATGCCGTTGTTGCACGTACCAGGACCTTAGTTGTAAGATATCTGATGACCAACACGACGATTTCAGGTTGATGAGAAGGGCACGAGGTGGTTTTACACAGGAGACATTGGGAGATTCCATCCTGATGGATGTCTTGAAGTTATTGACAGAAAGAAAGATATCGTTAAACTTCAACACGGAGAATACGTATCCCTTGGAAAGGTTTTAACCTATAAAAACTCTTGAAACTCTAGAAATGGAGAATGGTACGAATAAAATCTCCTCATACTTGCTTTTTTCCACAGGTGGAAGCAGCTTTGGGTTCAAGCAGTTACGTTGACAACATTATGGTACACGCGGATCCAATGAACAGCTACTGTGTAGCTCTTGTTGTTCCACCACACGGTGCATTAGAGAAATGGGCAGAGGAAGCCGGAGTTAAACACGGCGGGTTCGATGAGCTATGCGAGAGCGATGAAGCCGTTAAGGAGGTTCAACAATCTCTTACCAAGGTTTGCATTTCAAAACATGTCTCTGTTTTTTGTTCTTTATCACATTTACAATACAACACCTGCTAAATGTGTTCGTTTCAGGCCGCCAAGGCGGCAAAGCTTGAAAAGTTCGAAATTCCGGCGAAGATCAAGTTATTGCCGGAGCCGTGGACACCGGAATCGGGATTAGTCACAGCTGCTCTCAAGATAAAGAGGGAGCAAATAAAGTCTAAGTTCAAAGATGAACTCCACAAGCTGTATGCCTAAAAAAAAAAATCTTTATATTACTCTTGTGATAAAAACTTTCAGTTTGATTTACCTTTCATTAAAACATCTATAGTAAACGTTGATCATGAGGGGTTTTTTCTCCTCTTTTAATACAATATTTCTCACATCAATTCCATCAATAACGGAGCTGAATCTAAAGACAAGTTGCTATTGATTTGGATCTGATGATGCAGAATCTGTGAGAGCTGTTGTTTCTGACAGTGCAGGTCGTAGAAGAAGATACAAAGAAGGTCCCAAGAATGGCACAACGGTTACAGGTAAAAGCCAACGTCCTTTATCAAACCTGATAACAAAAGCACAGTAACGTTCAGGTAATAAGTAAAACAAAAACGTAAAGATAAGTTTCATACCATTTTCTGGTGGTCATGTCATTGTAAACCCAGAACGGAGCAAATGCAGAGAGTAAACAGAAATCAAGACTCATGACATGAATCTGCGTTTTGACAAGAAAAAAAAAAGATTTAAGTCCTGTTTATGTCAAAACAATAAGCAAAAGATGATTTCGTTTTTCACTTATCCAAACTTACGAATTTGCTCTCTCGAAAGTACTGGTAAAACTCTTTCCAGTCACCGCCATTACCAATTACAGCATAGAGAATTATACCAAGTCCTGCAAAAAGAGTCACCTGATGCATAATATGAGGTAAACCTTTTTGACATTTTTGCTTTTGTGATGATTTCAAAAAAAAAAGAAGAGAGAAGAAGGAGAGATTTTACTGCAGCGGTTAATTTTGATTCAAGAATATTCAAAGGCCATTGTCGAAGTTCATCCTCTGAAACAGGAGGAGAAGGAGGATTCCACAGAGCAAAATAAGGTAGTAAAGCGTAAACGCCACCGAAGAACGAAAGCACAACGAAAGGCCAAGCCTGAGTCTTACTGTGGAAATGAACCAAAGGAGATCACAAACTCTCTCTTTTAAAAAACTCAAGCCATTGAAAAACTGATTATTTTACCTTCGACCTGTGGGAAGCAAGAGCATGCCATATACTAAAGGCCATAAACCCATTATGTACCATAACCCAACAAGTATCTGGTTCATTCTAAAACCATCATCGCCTTTCAAATTCAGCAGCTTTTTAAGAAAGTACAAGTCTTGTGTCTGCCCAAAATGAAATCACCAATTCTATATCACATTTTGCGGAAATTTTCTGATTAGTACAAAGAGAAACTATGACTTACTGGTGTTTGATCAGGAGCAAGATTGAAGCAATAGTACAAAAGCGCACCCCAAAGCGCAAAAAGCAATATCGAGCTAGTCCAATCTCTTGATTCATCTTTGATTTGGGTTTTCTCTGGATCTGGGTTGTTTAGTGAGCTTTTGCACACGTGGAGGAAACCTTTCTTCTCGTGCTTTGGGAAACGCGTAAGGAGGATTTGATCGGGTTTTAGAAATGGCGAAGATGAAGAAGCTCTTGGTTGTATAAAAGTGAGGTTTTGGGTTTCTCTGAGGGATTGGGCTCGTCTCGAGGGTTTAAAAGGAAGAGGAAGACGGGAGAAGTTGCAGGAGATGAGGTTAATGCCTTCCAACATTTTCTTCTCTTCCTCCAATTTTTCGTTAGAATTTTTCCTTGTCTTCAGAGGCAAAGAAAAACTAACAAAACAAAATAAAATCTATGGGTACAAATGTCTTTTCATATTAACACTTCGGCATATATAATTATTTATGTTTTCAGAAACTGACACTTTATCAAAAATTTAAATTAAAGCACCAATCTAAACAAAACATAAATACACATCAGATTACACATCCTTCCAGCACGAATCAATAGCTGGACTGCCTTCAAGGTTGAAAACGAAATCGTATATACTTTCGTTATTTATAATAGACAATTTATTAGACATTTAATTTAAATCAAAAAAATTATTGATTACATATTGAACCTTCTGAAATTAAAAGATTTATATACCTAACTAGTTATATTCAATTGACTTTGGATCTAGATTCGACCGACCAATTATACCAACTCAAATCAACAAAAAACCCGATCTACAAGCATAAATCTTCTCCTTAATATCGATTCGTTTCTCTTCTCTGTCGCGATCAAACAAAATTAACGGTTCTGATTACCAAAAATCTCTAAGACAAGCACATACAGCAAAGCAGATATCTCCATATCGACAACTGCACGAAATTGCCGGTCAATACCTCTATATCGTTCGTCGAGAAAAGATAAGTTAAAATCAAATGTAAATTTTGAAATTGAATGCAAATTATGAAATTGATTAGTTTTAGTTTAGTAGAGTAAGTAGTAGGGCTTAACGAACAGATTTATTGTGTAGGGGATATGATGGCTCCGTAAAAAAAATTAATGGCCCGTACAAAAAATGCCTCAAATATTGAAAAGGGAAAGGAAAGCAAGCGTAGTCGAATATAAAAAGTGAACATAGAAAAAAACAGCAGTCTAGCCCTCGTGATGAACCCCGATTATGCGCTATCAACGGTATGTGGTTTGGATTGGCTTAAACAAGTAGGTAGTAGTACTTGGTAATACTGTGTGTATATTGGTCCTAGTATTCTAAAAATAAATAGTGACACTGAGTAAAACTTGAATCGATTGCAAGATGAAACAGAGCCTATGCAACCAATGTGAATGTACTTTCAACCGAGTGAGTACAAGAAACAAGTGAAGGTATCAACCAGATGTTACATCCACCATGCAATGAACAACATCAATACTCTGAATCTTGGCTTCAGAGAAGAATTGGTTTCTTAACCACCCCCAGTTCAAGCACTTCTTCCATATGCATGATGACCATAACTATAAAGTTATGGGAATGTGGATGCTCTTGCTTCGAAAACATCTGAAGTTGAGAAGCGAAGAAAAGCTTGGTTCGTGGTTTAACAGAGTCCCCATCAAATATTCTCTCAGAGAACACACTCTGATATCTGGGTTAGATAGTCGAAGCTATCTAAAAATCTTCATGCAATTGGGGGTATGAAATTCGCAGAAAAGCAATTTGGCCAAGGAGTTACAATAACATATGCAAAAATTGAAGAAAAGCTACTGAAAATGAAGAAACCTAATCCAGATATGTTGAGAATGTGTGTCATCTACTTCCTGTGTAGCATCATTGTAGGCAAGGAGAAGACAGAAAAAGGACCACCATTTGTTGAAAAGATTATTATTAGAGTTGTGGATGATCTTCCACTATGTCGATCATTTCCCTGGGGGAGATACTCTTTGGTCACAATTTGAGTGATATTCAGAAAGAGATGGATGATTATAAAGGAGTCGTCGATAGAATATGCAAGTTTTCTAGCTTTTGTACTTTATTGGAGGTAAGTATGATATATGTATTCGTAGTTATTTTTATTTAATGTATACCCTAACTTGCTAACTAAATTTGTCATGTGCAGTTGCTAGCGTTTGAGGCTATTCCAAACTTGATAAATAGATTCCGGAAAATGCATGCAAGTGCACATTAAAGTTGTCTTCGGATGTGTAAAACAAAGTTTAAGCGATATGCTTTGAAAGAATTTCCTTTTTCAGAAATTTATGAAGAACTTGGTACAACTAAGGTTAAAAATCATACCGTAGGTATCCTTTAAATGTCCATTAATTAGGTTTGTAAATCTAAACTTGTTTATTTTTATATACAGGACATTCAAAGCGTCCTGTTGGCTTCCGATGAGGAACATAGAAGGGGAAGACGAAGATGTGCACGATGTTGTTGTTGAAAGTTGGATGAAGCTTATCAATCAAGGCAAATCTGTTTGTTTTGAAGAGATGTTCGATGAAGATTTGGCTTCTCGAGAAGAAGAGAAGAGTGAGGAGGAGGAAAATGTGACCCTCCCTGCTCAGGATGAGGAAAATGCGAACCTCCCTTCTCAGGATACGGACGTACATGAGGAGAATTGGACCATGCGGAAAAATGTGGCGCCAATCAGCATAGTAGTAAAGCTGCAACTAGCCATGAAAAAAGGATTTAAAGAAATCAAAGACAAATTTATTGCATATGACACAAGACTATTTGCCGTGGTAGAGTATGTAAAGGAACAATTGGATGCAAGGAGATTGTATGAAGATCTCGTTGATTATTATTTTGATGGTGCTGGTGGTGTACAAGTGGTCAGCTTGGTGGTTTCCGCTGAGAAGGTAGCACTTGTCATTCTTAAATGTTAAAAGAAAAATGTCACACTAGGAAAAACTAAGTGATATTTGATGCAGGGTCAAGAAGAAAAGAATGCTCAAGAAAAAGAGAAGGGAGGAGAGAAAGAAATGGAAAACGCTGAGAAGGGAATGGAAGGAGAGAAAGGTGTAGAAGAAGGAGAGCAAGAGACGGAAAAGGTATGAATTGCATATGTTTTTGCTAAAAACTATAACGTCAGGATAGGTAACACTAAGTTAAATTTGATGTTTTTGCAGGAACAAGTAGAAGAGAAGGATCAAGAAAAAGATACGAAAGGAGAGAAAGAGAGAAGAGACAACGAACCCGGAGGAAGAGGAAGAAGGAGGAAGAAAAGCGAAAAGGAGAGAAAGTTCTTGGAGAGAGAGAAGAGAGAAAAAGAAATAAGACAAATTATTATTTCATACCGCTCTCCAAAAATTAAAATTAATTTTTAACTACCGCTCTTCGAAAAAAGGACTGCGAAAACTCGATATTTCAGAGACGTGCGCCAAACCTTGGTATTTGTCACATAGTGTTACCTAATAAACCAGTATTATTTGTTTCCAAATAGTGTTACTTTTGAGAGATTTTAAGTTTTATTTAGTTTTACCTTAATTGGAACCAAGATTTCATAGTTCCCAATCATATTAGTCAAGTTAAGTACAGTCCAAAGTGTTTATGTATTAAAATGTATAAAATCATACTATATGAATGTTTTGCATTCTCAGATAGTTTATATTAACAAAGTGATCATGAAAGTATAAGGTCTTTGATGAGTACAATTACAATATTTTTTCTTCTAATTAAATGATCTTCCTCCTATTAAATTGGTACTTATATTAATAATGTTTCTCCAACTGATGGATACCTCTTCTCTTTATGTCATACTGCTCTTACGAAAAATATTAAAAATCTGAACATGAGTTTTACCAAATTCTGCAAAAAGATAATATCAAAGACATATAAATTCGACCATTAGTTTTACCAAGTTCTACAAAAATATAATCTTAAAGAAATACAAATCTGAGCAATAGTTTTACCAAGTTCTGCAAAATATAATCTCAAATAAATACAATAAATACGGATTCGAATACCATTTCCATCAGAAATCAAGGCTCAATACTATGAACCGGCTCAAACCAACTCCCCAAGTTCCTTCCTGCCACCCTTTTATTGCTCGGTTGTGGGCGTCTTTCTCCAACTGATGGATACCTCTTCTCTTTATTTCTTCCCTTCTTTTTGGTGTAGTGAGGAGGGAAGATCTGCAGTTCTTTTATTTCATCGGAAATAGTCTAGTCACACCTAGCAGGCACTAGATAAATGGTCATGTAGTATGTCAATGCCCACTGCTCCGCAAAATAATAAGGCGAACACAAATCATGAAACTGGATATCTCTCACTCTGTTTTGGCGCTTCAAATATTTTGCGACCCTAGCTATTGCGTGCTCACAAGGATACTTGTCAATATCGAAACACCTGCAAGTGCAACTTTTCCTTAGCAAGTTCACCACAAATGACTTATCGTCGCTTCCATTGACACGGTATTCAAGCTCAAATGTGTTTAACTCAATCACAGTTAAGAGCGATGTAGTCTTGCATCTTTCATGCACTATGTTATCCACAATAGGCACCAGCTTTTGTGCACTTGATCCAGCAATAGATTCCTTCCTATGTTTGTTAAACTATTCACCAATTTTCTCTAGTATTGTATCTATCAAGGGTAATAAGGGATACTTCCTTTCTGTCCTAAACACGTTATTAATGGATTCCCCTATATTGGTGGTGTCTACGTTGTACCTCAGTCCTGAAAAATAACACCTCGCCCTTTTTTTTACTTCACAACTCTCTTTCAGATACACAGACACATAAGGATATCTGCTACAAAAGTCATCAAAAACACGATGGAACTCAACCACCGTACAGATCTTACCAACCTCTTTGAATCTACTTGACATTAAGTCTTTGTTGACATTGTTAACTTTAGTTCTCATATTATGGGAAAAATGCCATAGACAATGCCCATGTTGAGCGATCGGATACACCTCTCGTATTGCCTTGACGAGGCTTGGATTTCTGTCAGTAGTAAATACCAATTCAGGCGAGTCTAATATAACAGATTTCAGCATACTGAAAAACTACTTCCAACTTGCATCTTTCTCACCATCAAGGACAACAAAGGCTACAGGATAATGGTAATGGTTAGGATCTTGATCTGTGGCAAAAAAAGGACATCCTTATATACTGTCTTCAGAAAAGTTGCATCCACAACTATCACTTTTCTCATGGCTTGAAACCCTTCAATGCTACCTCCCAAAGCCACAAAGAGATATTTGAACTTTTTCGCTTCATCCACCTCTACTCTTGTTTTTGTACTAGGATTCACCTTCTCTAACATGTGCATATAACTGTAACAGCTCATA